CGTGTCCAGGTGGGTTTTGAATGTCTCCAGAGAAGGAGACTCCACCACCTCCCAGGGCAGCCTCTTCCAGGGCTCTGCCACCCTCACAGGAAAGAAGTTCCTCCCCATGTGTAGGGGGAACTTCTTATGTTCAAGTTTGTGCCTGTTCCCTCTTGTCCTGTCACTGGGCACCACTGAAAAAAGACCGGCCCCATCCTCCTGACCCCCACCCTTGAAGTATTTATAGGTGTTGATCAGATCCCCCCTCAGCCTTCTCTTCTCCAGACTAAAAAGACCCAAGTCCCTCAGCCTTTCCTCATCAGAGAGATGCTCCAGGCCCCTCATCATCTTTGTACTTCTCTGCTGTCCCCTCTCCAGCAGTTCCCTGTCCTGTTGTGGTACCAGATGCTTCTCTCTCCTGAGCAGTGACACGGCTACTGGAGACTGTAGTACCACTTCCATCGCAGGACTTCATTCTTTACACCTCACCAGTTGGAAATCTCACATAAATACCCATCTTTCCCTCCTGCCTATGGCTCTTTTGAATTGTTTTTCCTGTCAGTTACCTTTTTTAAAAGCAGTATTGTAATTGCTGCTTTAAATAAAGAACGTTTCAAATTACAGTTTGTGAAATAGGTTTTATAGAAGAAACTTGTATTATCAGTTCCTGCTTAGCTACAGGCACTCAATAATCATTCTTTCCTGGGTGTTACTCAGTGTGCCACCTCCACAGAGAAGGTCACTTTATATCTGGTGGCTTATTGTTTTCAAATAATATATCTGTGCATAAATTGCTGGGTGCCATGGTACCTTTCAGGTACCTGCTGTTGCTGTTTCTCCTCCCATCCCATCCCTCCCGTCCCCATCTGTGAGAGATTGCATGGTCTGATGGAATTGCCACGGGGTGTCAGTCCAGAGATGTCAGTTCACAGCTCTGCTTTTAGGTGCCTGTGATGCCAAAGGCATATCCTTAATCATTCCAGATCTATAAAGTAAATAAGATAGTTTATTACTTGCCTTGCATGAGCACTAAGAGGATGTATGAATATCTCTCTAGGATGTGTAGCTCTATGGATGAGCGCTTGCTGGTAAGTAGATGATTTTTCACTTTCTTAGCATTTTGAGAAGGTTCTCCTCTTCAGTTATGACTGGCAAAAACTTGAGTTTAGGCTGTTGGAATCACTTGCAAGCCGTCTCCCAACTCAAAGTAGCTAAACACGTCATCTCTTCCTTGTGGACAGAAACACTTTGAGCTGAAGAAATCTTCTGAAAGACACTCTGGAATCCAAATGGCAGCCCTCTGTAGTGAAATTAATTTTGGATTTCAAAATTCTTGTCCTTAACTTACCAGCTGCTGCAGGGCCAGCTTTAACCGTGTTCTGAAACAAGGAGGGATGGAGAAGGTTGAAAGCCTCAAGGAGCTGGCACAGCATGAAACCGTGCTGCCAGTGGTTGCACCTTACTGAGCTGGTCTGGGGTGTAGGTGTCTATGGATCCAGCAGGATGGACGGATTAGACCTTGGGGGCCTGTGAGTGCATTACTGAAAGAAAATATCAGTGCTTGATGATCCATAAACCTGACTTCTCGTGGGCTGATGAGGCAGGTGACTCAAGGAAAGAACCCATTTGCCCCCGCGCTGCTGTTCTACCTGAAGAGCATCTCCCATGGATGTGCTGCATGAAATGCATTCCCTCTCGCTGCGAGGTGCTGGATCTCTGGGAATCTTGAAAGGGGTTGAAAAAGCAAAAGTAAAGTAGGTTGATGGGAAAGGACTAAAATCTTTAGAGCTGTGTGAAATAGCTCCATGCTAAAATGGAGTACTGGGTGAATGCCAGTGCCTGTGAAAAACAGATTCATGGCTCTGGTCAAGTTTCTGGGAAAGTGCATTTTGTGCAGCACTAAATGTGTATCTCTGGAAGCAGTAGCCTGGTCTAGTAGATAATGTGCAGATAGGGAGTCAGGGGACCTACAGTATTTGCTTCTCTGGCACTGCCTTCTATCATTTGCTTTCCTTATTAAGAAAGCAAGCTTAGGGCAGAAAATTGTCCTAGTGCGTGTTGGTACAGTGTAATGGGGTCCTGGCCTTCACGGGGGCTGTGGGTGCCCCTGAAATATACACAGTAATAACAGCGGTGACCTGTTCTGTATCCCATTATTCCAGTATCCAGCTTCAGTTAGGAGGAACAATTTATTCCAGAAAATGTGGAAGTAACCACCAGAAAATATGGTTATCATTTATATTCTTTCCCTTTTAATGTCAGCAGTATATAAACATTGTTTTTCAGAAAGAAAGGGGTGGCCCCTGAGGTACGGCAGCGCGGAGCTTTCCAAGTGTATTTAAAGATATTTGTAGGAAATGGCCATCTGAGCAGTCTTTCTGGGTTTCTGTGCTTGGAGGGTTTCAGTTCTGCCTGCGTGCCGGTGGAGGAGAGAAGCAAAACCGAATCCTAAAATTCTTGGTGGTGCAGGTGGGAGTAGAAGCCACCATAGATTTGGGCACCTACAAGAAAAAAACACCGAAATGGCAGAAAAACCAGGGGAGTTCTGCAGTCATGTTTCATTGCAGAGCTTTAAGAAGCCAAGACCCGGGAATTTAGTGACACTGTCATATTATCAATTCCCGGGCGCTATTAGCTGAGACACCTTACAAATGGTTGGACTAGTAGCCTCAAGGAATTGTTGGCCTTTGCCAAGACAGATAGAAAGAGTTACACAGAAGATACAAGCGAATCAGTCACCTCACTGTGTAGGTGTCAGGATGGATAATAAGCCTTTATTCTCTTTCCACAACTGCACTAGACTACAATGGGACGAGAAATATCAAATAAAAATACGGTGACCACACATTGCCTGTAGTAACAAGCAACAGCCTGGCAAAATCAAACCCATCTACTGGATTAGAGGATGGAGTTGACAGCATATTCTTTTTTTTTTTTTTTTTAACGTGGCTCACAATTTGTGAGGGTATTCAGATAGTACAGAAACAGACTGTGCTGTTTGTGGAAGAAAGCCATTCTCCCTCACCTGTTATTTAGGATCATAGGAGTAACTGCAACTCAAGTGAAGGATAATTTGGAGTACAAATAGAGTTTTAGCCATTTTCAAGGAAAAATTGTACCTTTATCCTTTACTTTGTTGTGTGATAGTGTCGGGATTGCCTGCGTGATGGCATGTAGCTCACCTCTGGGGCAGATTTGATCCAAGTTTGTAAGAGATGTTGTCAAATAAAGATGCTAATATGCAACCGATACATTATTTGATTTTCACACTCTGGAGTCCCATTAATGCATTTCAGACGTGTGTGCACAGGAGCTACCAGTGAACTCTTAACTGAATGGGAAAATTGGTGGATGCAGCAGAGCAGTAGAGTTGTCAGGGACAAAAAGCTGAAAATTACATGTGTGTTTCAAACAGGCAGCATTTTTGCTTGGTAAATACTGTGTTTTGCTGGGGCAAACTAGATTAACAGCTGTAGGAAAAGTGAAATCGTTCTTCTATCACTGAATGTGGTGAGTTTTCTTGTTTTGCATTCATGTCATTGTTCTACATGTACTCTTTGAGATATGATGAGAGTAGAATATAATACTTTATTCAAGATAGGTCCTCATCCCTGGAAGTCCATCAGCTAAAGCCCTATTTAGAACCTATCAGAGAGCCCTATATTCAGTTGTATGATTTGAACCATCGGGACTCTCCTTGCAGACAGAGATCTTTTAAAGCCAGTGCAGTTTAACACGTGTCAAACGGGCAAAAGAGTAACCCAGAGAGGCTTTCTTCTGTCTCACCAACGTACGGACTTGATTGAATATTATCTCCCCAAGCAAATGGCTTCATGAACAGAAGTGATTCAGATTTTCCTGAAGGTCAGCAACAGAGAGTTGTTAAAAGAGCAAAACATACAGTCTTCTGGTGGCAGCACTCTCTCCTCACCTCTGATTCCCTTTCCCTACCGTGTTTAAGCTGTAGAGGAAGACTTGGCTGACTCCAACAGCGAAGGTGAAGCCCAACATAAGATTGTGATCTCATGTAACATGAATTCATTTAGCTTCATCAACTACACTGGTGAAATTTTTAGAAGTAGTTAAGTATATCAGGAATGTAATAAAGACAGGCTTATTTAGTCTTTAAAGTAGCCATGAATCAAATCTTGTGGGGCTTTCTAAATCAAGTTCAGTGGTTTAAGCAGTATCTGGAAAAATTTTGTGCAGCAAGAAGTGAAGTCAGCAGAGCTAAGGTGTATGGTAAATCCCAGTGACAGAGCAGAGGGGAGCATTCTTCAGGGTCCTCAGTTATTGCAGGGATCCTTAAAGTCAAATCATGACAAGGAAGTAAAAGAAGAAATAATAAGAAATAACGTTCCTAAATGCGTTTCGGGTTTTGGTGTTTAGGCTTTACTCTTAAAACACCCAAAATTTCAAATAGAAATTCTGTTGTCTTGCCTGGGCTGTGGGAGAACTCATGCATGGAGTATGTTAGATGATGTGGAGGGTGCTCGGTGCGTTGGATTAGTGCTGGTTACACACATAATGATAACCATATGTTTACAAAAGCCAGGCCTCCAGTGTAGTGAGAAATACAAACCTGTTCTGATTTTAGAAGAAAAAAAGTTCCTGCAAGTAGTATTATGGGATATCTTACTGCAAACTTTTACATTATGTCGATAAGTAAGGATTGCACCTCCAGTTAAGCTGTTTGAGATGAAAATTATAACTGCTATTAATTCTCCTGCTTCTGGGTTTATGCTGAGTGCCTTAGAGGAGTAAATTCCCCGTTACAGTAGAATATGGTAAAATATAAGAGTCAGTTGCATTACACTGGGATTTTACACCCTATTACTGCTCTGAATTGTCTGTCATTAGCCCTTATTAAAGGCAGATTTGGTTAGATGGACAATTGTCTATTGCAATTTGATTGCAAATATGTTGTTAGGCTTTCAAATGAGTATTTAAAGTGGATCATTGCATGATTTTTCTACAAATTCTCTTTTTACCTCCTCCTTCCTCTCCCTCCATCTTTTAAGGAGCTTCCACCCAGAATTCCAACGCAGTGGAACCGGAAAAACAAGTTGACAGCACGGTGAAAATGGCCGGAGTTATAGCTGGTCTTCTGATGTTTGTTATTATCCTCTTGGGAGCAATGCTTACCATCAAGAGAAGGTAAGTTTCTGCTTTGCTTCCATCTTGGACCTTCTGGCTAGAGTGTTGTTAATTCAAAAAGAAGAATAAATTTGGTGGAGATAAAACATTCTGTTTGTGTTACAGACGGCAGCAGTTAATACCTTTTTATGTAATGCTACCAACCAGAAAAGTTGTAGTCCCAGAAGAGATGCCTGTTCTGGCAGACACTGTAAGAGCAACAGCAGAATGGGTGTCATTGCAAAAAGTTAACGATAATGAATTGATGCTTAATGAGAAGAGCTAGCTCATGAAAAAATACAGAGAAATACAAAGCGATAATGAGGCAATGGGAGTGGGCATGGGAGCCTGTGCTACCTGCACAACAGTGGCCTAGGAGAAGACCAAAATTCTTTCTTAACAGCGAAGAAAAATAATGTTTTAAAATAATGTGATCAAAGGTCTTGTTCCCAAGTGAGTCTTGGTTCGTTATATTTTCACACAGCAATTTCTTTGCAACCGGTGTTCAGCTGGGATATTATATCTCGCAGAGGGTTAGTCTTTCCAAGAGTTAGCTTTAGCTTACAGGGGAATGAAACTTGGAAAAATTCAGTATGGTAATGAAATATATTCAAGCAGTTCATTTTGTGTGATTGTCTTTGGACAAATTTGCACTTACACTTTGAAGTAGACTATTGTACTTGCTACTGTTTGAAGAGCTTCACACTTACCGTGTAATACACCGACCAATGCAGCAAACCACTTAGGCAAGAGGTTTTCTTGAGAAAAAGGTGTATTTTGTGTATATTTTTACCGGTCAGATTTCTGAAGTGAACCCTCCTTCTCACCAGTAATGGGATTCTAAATGACAGAGGAGGCGGGCAGCCGGGCAGCCCCTTGCCTGGGGGGCAGGTAGCATTTTGTGTGAGCTCCGAGATGGTTTTACTTGGTCTGTCACAGGGAGAGCAGCTTTTCAAAGCAAAGCTCTGTTCCTTTGAGATCACTTATCTCTGTGACAAGCAGTCACACATCTTCCCAAAATAAGAGCAGCAGTTAAATGTAGATAAGATTTCTTCCAGCTTCATCCAGAGCAGGTATACAAATGGAATAGCTCTATGCTACAGGTGCTTTTCAGAAGGACTTTGAGGGGCTGGAGAAATGGGCTGATGGGAACCTTGTGAAGATTAGCAAAGGCATCTCGCATTGATGGCCATCTCCATCTTTGGAGAAATTAAGAACTTCACTTGGACAAGGCCCTGAGAGACTTAAGCAGGAGGTTGGGCTTGAGTTCCTTTGAGCAGCCTCTCCAAATGATGTAATTCTACAAAACTGATGGCACGTAGACTGACTACTGTGAATTCCTGTTGAATTAGCTGAAGGTGTGGGCGATCTAGATTTTTAATCCAATTTTTGTTGTGTGTAAAAATCTCAAATTTTGTGGACAAATGTGTGTGTAGTCTCATCTACTGCACTTCTGTTCGGTGTTAAGCCCAACAGTATAGATGTCGCTGTTTCCAGTCCCCTGGGAGCTTTTCAGTTCACAGGCAGAAAAAAATCAGATGCTTCCAATGAAAAACTGTAAAAGGGTTGGAGCAAAATTGCGCTGGGTTTCTGTTACCTTCCTAAAAGCTCTTTTAAAGAAGCTTTTATTTTCAGCTTGAAAGATAAAACTTCTAAGGAAAGCTATCAGAGCAATGCCGCATCTGAACATCCTGGTGTATTTCACAAGCTATTAATAGTTGATTTCTGTCCCATAATGTATTATTATAATTTATGTATATTGCTGGGCAGAAAATAAACAATGATCATCAGGGTTTTTTACTTTTATTTGTTTTTAAATGGACTCTCTGTATTTTTTGCATAACATAACAAACATTTATTAGAGCTTAGGAGGAAACGTAGAGACAGTGTTATATAGTTCAGTTAGCAGGTATATAAAATCAATAGATTTTAGCTTGATTTTCTTTTTTTCTGGTGTATTTTTAACTCAGGTAAGTACTGATGACAAGATCTATCAAGATCCAGCCTTTTCAAATATAAGATTCTTCTAATGTTTCTGCTGTTGTGACTGGTGCAATATAAGTTGATATCTGATAGACAGAGAAACACAGACAAACCCAGAATCAAAAGTACTCATCTTGCAGAGAGAATTCAAGAGGCTGGAGCCTGAGGACCTGTTTGCTTGACATAAAAATTCCCAAACTAGTGCTGACCAGAGCTGCCCCCCTCTAGTGCAGTGCACGTGTTCTGTGGAACCAGCCTGGTCCCCAAAAGCAGCAATATTTAGGGACTTTGGGTGCTATGTCCCATGGGCAGAGCTTTGCTCTGTCTGGCTTTGCCAAAGGCTCTGTTAACCTGGGCATCTTTCTTCAAAATTAAAATCACAGAGGAGATGAGTGGGAATATTAGAAATATAAATTTTCCCCTTTTTCTTTCTAGAGCTGGAAAATCACATTTTCCTCTGTGTCCTCCCCTGCTCCCCCAGTGCAAAGAGGCGAAATCACTGCAATCTGTATCTCTCTCTGCCTGTTTGCTGTCATTTGTAAGGTTACCCACCGGAATACACACTATTATAAGAAATAAACTGGCTCATCGACTTTAAAATCTTTTCCCATTTAGAAGCTGTAGGAGTGCAGAAGGAGGTTTGGGGGGAGGTTGCTCTCTCTAGGTCTGTGTAGCACAGACCAGCCCCATTGGCCAACCTGCTGATGGCATCGGTTCTGGGTGTCCCTCCAGTGGGCACCAACCAGTCACGTCCAGGAGGGGCTCAGAGCTGCGTATGGACAAGTGTTCCCCGCAGATGAACGTGACCCTGCCAGGCTCATTTCAGTTGTAAACTAATGCAAATTGGGACCAGCTTTTCATAGAATCATAGAATCACTGAGGTTGGAAGAGACCCTTGAGATCATCGAGTCCAACCATCTCCCCTACTCTACAAAGTCCTCCCCTACACCATGTCCCTCAGTACCCCATCTAAACGGCCCTTAAACACGTCCAGGGATGGTGACTCAACCACCTCCCTGGGCAGCCTGTTCCAGTGTCTGACCACTCTTTCAGTGAAAAATTCCTTCCTAATGTTCAATCTAAACCTCCCCTGTTGGAGCTTGAAGCCGTTCCCTCTCGTTCTATTGTTAATTACCTGTGAGAAGAGACCAGCTCCAACGAAAAGGCCACTTTGGACCACAGATCGGTTTGAACTTGTGGAGGAGCACAGCTGAACACTTGCGCTTCTCTGAGGGAACAGTTTAACAACAAAGTTCTCTTTCTATTTTACAAAAAGAAACATTAGGAGCTTAAGCTCTTGCGTTCGATTTCTGCATTAACCTTACTTTGAAAAGAGTTCCCCTTTTGGATTCACTAAGGCTAATGCCTCGGTGCCTACAAGATGGCTTAGCCTTGCAAGGCAACAACGCAGAAAAATAATTTAATTAGACAAACTTGAGGCATTTTCTTCAAATGGAGCCAGAAAATACCACAGTGACATTTGTTGATGGGCCGGGGCATCCTAGTTCACTGGTAACGGGCACAGCAATGGATTTTCTGAATGAAGGGCTTTGTTAACCAGGGCAAAGAGCAAAGGAAGGAGAGAGATGAGGAGGGACAGAAGGGCTAAGAGCAGGCAGGCACTGGTTTGAGACTGGGATTAGGCAGATCCTGCATTTTATTTCTGCGAGACGCACCAAACCAGCGTATTTCTTTGAACCTCCCATATGTGAGGCATGAGCAAGTGTTGCCCAGTTGCTCGTCATTTCAATAGACCATATGGCAAGAACTCTAGTGATTCGCAAATTCCTGGGGACTGCCAATGTTTTGTCGGGTTTAGTCGGAAATGTGGAGCTAAATTAAGCCAGGCAGAATGTTCATGCGGTGGCAAATTTGGGTTTGTCTCTACGTTTGTTATCTAAAAGTTTTACTTGAACACTGGGATCGCCTAAAGTCTGCTGAAGTTTCTGCATGTGTATATCTGTGTAAAAATTGTGTGTATGTATATAAATTTCTGGTTTAAATATGACTGGTTTATAGTATCTAAAATCAAAACCATTATCAAAATTTGTTTTCTTGGTTTTGGGAAGCCACTAGCTACATGAGTTACATGTTTGCAGCTCCAATATCATCAAATTAATATGGATGGACAAATCACTGCAACGTAATTTAGCCTGTTAATTTACAGGTGGTGATCAGTGCCCACATGGGTGCATTTGCCCACATAAGGCAGTACCACTTTCTTTCATTAATAGACACATACCTTGAAATAGGTCATTTTTATTGCATCAAAACACTGCTAATTCTCTAAGGAGCATCTCTCTTTGTCCTTAATATTAATTAAATATTTTTGTGTAACAGAGAATACAGGACCAGTTAGTAAAAACAAGCTGAAACAAGGAAACCAAGACATTTTTAGACTCCTTTTCTGGAGAAAATACCCTTTGACTTTGCCCCCTCATAGGATTAGATTTTGGTCAGTTCTGATTTCATCTGGACAGTTTTAACTCCAGTGTAATCGTGACTTGCATTTCCCTGGAGTGAAGAATGTGACACTTTTCAGGCTTGTGCGTTTGAGCCGCCAAAGCCTCTACTGACCCCTTTAACTGGGAGACTGAATAAATAGGATCAGACAGCCTGTCATGGGTCCACTGTAAATAAGTTCTTTAAACTGTGGTTGGTAGCAAAAAAAATAGATCTGGGGATCTGTTGGGTCTAGGATTAGTTCGTTATATGAAAATTCAGCTCCTTATTCTGGATTAGGATTTAGGTTGTTACCTTAAACTCATTAAATAAACCCCAAATGCCTCTTGAGCAGAACATACCCAAGCTGTAGGATAGAATTAACAAAGGGATATGTTCCCATTCAGTGGCCCATGTCCCTTCCGTGTCCATATTTCAGGTGGGTGACCAGCAGGGTTTTTAGGTTGTGTGATACATTCTCAGATCAGGTCATATTTTCAGTAATCTATAACTCTGACCAATTTTAACAGTTAGTTTTGAACTATTTCTTACAAAATAGTTATTTTAGGTCACATATTTGGGGAGAATTTGAGCTCAAATAGCCTATCCAATTCCAAAATATAATCCTCCTTTTGTTTGTTTTCCTTTATTTTCTGTCCTTATGGAATACATCTTTCTGAGCTTTCCTCCGTAGCCTTGAGGGATACACAGCTTTTTAATGAGAACTAAGAGTCTCTTGTGATCACATATGTCTACTGGTTGGGACATGAGAGAAGCAGAAAGTGCAGCAAGATGTTCAACAGAAGAGTTACAGTTGATAGTGCTATGGGAAACCTGGCACTGGTGCATCAGGGGGGTTAATTAATAGAATAATTTTGGGGATGTAGAGGGTTCAGCTGCGTGAGCTCTCATTTTCCATATCCTGGTGATTTTTCCCTTTGTTTAGAGGTTCAGAGGAACTTGGAATTTCACAGTGAAGCTCAGTGGCAATCACTGCACCTTAACTGGTGTGTTGGTGTGGCACGTAGAATTTCCAGGCTTCAGGAGATTATAGCATTATGTTATAAATACATTCAGGTGTACCTTGGAATCAGTGTTATTCAAACAACTTGGCACGTGTTGGGAATCTGGCCAGACTTTCAGGTTTATGGCAAGGGTCACCACCAAACAAAACATGTCATTTCAGAGTAATCCCCTGGAACACCTGTAAATCATTGTCCTTTAACTGCCCTGAGTGTGGTTTCGGTGTGTGCTTACGAAAATTATGTGCAGTGCAACCGTAAAAGTGAGCACTTGCACCCTGCATTTATACTTCTAAAGACTTCCTAGTGTTGTAGCATTTTCAAGGATGGGATTTTGAAGTTGTGCAATAGGTTGAAGTTTGTATTCCATTGTTTTTCCCTGTCTTGACTGACTGTGGCTGCTGCTTTCAAGGCTCCCTTGTGCCTTGCTGTTAATTTGTAATAACATGTACTAGATCTGCCGTGAAACAGCCTTTTCAGAGAAGCCCTTTTCCAGTTACAAAAGGGAAGACCTCACCTCTTAAGTTATAACTGATTGCCAAGGCTCGTTTTGTGGCGCTGCTCAAAAACATACCAAAATGTTCTGATATCTGTTGTTGAAAAACTGCAATAGAAGATGCTTAATCACAGTGACGCAGAAAGCTAATGCCTACCCCCAGTGATCATCTATAAATATGTAGCGACACTTGAATTGTTAATGATCTATTTGCATTTTAGAGTTTGATGAAGCTTGATTTATCATTACGCAATTTGCTCATTGTCTAAATATTCCAAAATTGCGGTGTTCTTACATTGTCGCTTTCCTATTTATTGTTATTTATATTAATAGCTCTTACATATTTCTTTCCATTCCAAAAAACCCAAAGCACTTTTCAGGCAAAGGTAGGTCTCGTTACCCACGTTGCTGACATGGCAAAGAAGGAAGAGGTGAGGGGATTTATTCCTGGTGACACAAGGCAGGGGCAGAAGTTGAAACACTCCGGTTCAGTATCCGTTCCTCACCGACCCATGGCTCCTGAAAAAAGCGTAGGAAAATAGTAGCTTAGTACAAGAGGCAGCACAGATACTTGGTATATTGAAAAAAAAAAAGTCCTAGAGTTCATATAAATCTAATTATGTGTTTTTCTCTTTTTCCCCTTTTGGATGTTTTGTTCATCTGACTGGCCGTCAATATTTAGAAGAAATGCCTATTCCTACTCCTATTACTTGTAAGTACTTGGCTGGGGATGACCTTTCTTGAGCGTGCTCACCCTGTGGTAATTTTGTGCCTTGTTGTATTCTTTTCTTTTACCACTGTTTTTTTTTTTACCATTCCATTTGTCCTTGTCTTTCCAGCAGCTTGCGTTTTATTTTCTCAGTTTCACACTGTTATGTTTGCTGTGTTTTACCATTGCACCTATAGCTGTGCCTGCAAACGCATAAATGTCCCCAGATAATGTCATTTATGGCTTATAGCTCTTCAAATGCTAATGGACAAGTACAGAGTGCCCCGACCGCACCTTTTTTAATTGTCCATTGTATTTCCTGGAGGGAAATTCACACCTGAAAGTTATTGTTGGGAATTTCTCAGCCACGAATATCAGCTTTTTAAAATTGTAGGGTTTCTGACAACTAGGACTTGACATTATCTCAGGAAACATCCCTGTTCCTGGAGCTGCCAAGTTCCCAGTGTCAGTTCAGACCATTGGATGATGAAGTGGTTCGGATTTTTGGATCTGTATCACCTGTCCAGTCCTAATGACAATGCTGCATAATTAAGGCAGTTGTTAAGGCGCATGAAAATGCTTCACACACCAGTGCTTCCAGAGCCATCTGTTGTCTAAAGATTGAGGGGCTGGAAAGTAATCGGGGCCAAGCTGTTTCTGCCATGATAATAGTTGTCTGAGGATCAGGAGGAGGAGGAGAGGACCAGGTCAATGATCTGAGGAGAGAGTCCTGGAGAACTGAGTTGGATGCCTTTGCTGCCACCAGAGGGTTGGGAGGGATGGAGAAGGCAACTGTTCCTGCTGAGAGAAACAGGCAGCAGCCGTTTTACGGAGTTTCGTGTTTCAAGTTTCACATGAAATAGGACGTTTCATTATGATTGCAGATGAAAACCTTAAATTGTGAAGGACTGTGTAATTCTTAGCCAAAGCTGATAGAAATTGCTACAGCCTCTTATGAGCAGAGAGGTTTGATTTACGTTTATTTGAAATGTTGTGAAAATAAGAGCAGCGATATGTATATTTATAGATTTTTTTAAAATAGAATTGGTTTCCATACTAGGGCGTCATATGACTGTTTTAGTCCTGAAGCAAAATTCAGTTGAATGAGTTACCAGTATAGAAAAGCAGGTTCTCAAATAGATCTGCTAGCAGACCTTTAAATACGACCATATGGACTACATCGCTTTATTTTTAGGTTCAGTTTCTGGACTTCAAAGTTGTGCTTCTTAGAATAGTTCTCATCTGCTTTCAGATAATTCCTCTCAACCCTTTGTCACATGCTATGCTGGCACTTCTTCTTCTTAGGGATCAAAATCTCCAACCCTGACTCTTCTAAACAGTTCTTAATGATAAGTCTATTACAATCAAGGAGACTTTTATCACAAGTAAGGGATTTTTGCAGAGATGGGCCATGAGTGCTGTGGCCGTCTCTAGGCTGGAGTTCTGCCCTCAGCCTGTCTTGTGTTCTGCTGCTCTCCAGGGCTGTGAGATCTACTTCTGTGAGATGGTTGAGTACCTGCAGCTTTGGTGCAACCAGTCAAAAATATCCAGTTAAAAGAACAGCTCTTTTAGGTATTTTGTCCATAGGAGGTAAATAGTTGTGGGATTTTTATATAGCAACACTTCATTAAAAACTTCCTTTAACCTATAGGAAAGGATGGTGTTGTGGCTGAAAGACAAGGCCATAAAGATCTTAAACACACTTTAGGTGGAAATGCAAACCCAGGCCTCTATTCCTAACTTGCTACGTCATCATGCAGCATTGACATTGTTTTGTGTACTTCAGTTTAGTCACCATTAGAAGTTAGTTGCTTACAACTTGAGATCCTTGGACAGAGCTTGGGTTTGTGATGGGAAGAGGAGGACATGGAATGAGGAGTTCCTGTCCCGGCACACTCATTGCATCGCTGCCACCAGGGTGATGCAGGAACCTTTTCAGAGGAGTTTGCTCTGTATTTCCACCAAAACAAGTGCTGTCTGAGGTTTGTACAGAATTGCCAACTCTGTCACATTGCACTTCAGTTGAATGCCTTGTAAGAAGGGATGTGCGATGTAAGATAGCAACCCATCCACCTCTGGAAGTTTTTGTTTCCTTTCCTAGCTGAAGCTGTAAAACACAGACAGCAATTTGTCTGGCTTAAAGGAGGTTTTACATTTAATGACAGACACCTCTTTTGTAACAGTATTTTCAGCTGCACCAACCCATATCAAGGGTTTATTGTTTCCTCACGAGGAACAGGAATGGAAATGTTTTCTGTGGGAGGGTTTAGGTTGTGTTGTTTTGTTTTGTTTCTGTCTCCTGGGCTGGGTAATGGGTATAGAATGAAATTTAATCAAGAGTGATATCAGACCAGAGAAGTATTTCTGGAAATACATGGGTTCATGTATGTGTTACAAGCACTCGCTTTAATGTTATTTATAAGAAAAGGGCAGTCAATGGCCAATCTTTTATTTTCCTTTTCCTCTGAACTGGCTGGAGCATGGGGACGTGATTACAATGTAGGAAATCCCTTCAGCTCCCATCATCATTTCATACCAATTTTAATTATACTAGTGGTTTCAGACAGGAGTTTCTTTTCATGGGAGAAGTGTTGTCAAAGGTATTAACCTAAATTTATACTTGCATTTTCTGAAATAACAGAGTTTGTGCTCCATTTATTTCCACTGTCTGCAGAACATCTGAAAAGAAATAAAACATTATTTTATTTATAGGCACACCTCTGTATAACCACATGCAGACATAAATAACTCCATATATTTCAATGGACGATGGGATCTGCCTGCACAGGTCAGCTTGCTAAATCAGAATTTTAAGAAGAAACTGGTTTTCTCATTAGAATCATGAATCAGTGGTTATACTAGTTCAGTGAGAGCAAATTTAAAAAAAAACAAACCTAGAAGTTTGCGAGGTTTTATTTGGAAAATGCTCATGAATCAGTGGTTATACTAGTTCAGTGAAAGCAAATTAAAAAAAAAAAAAATCCTAAAAATTTGCAAGATTTTATTTGGAAAATGTTTATGTGGTGATTGCAAGCCTAAACTTAGCAGAGGGCAGTGCTTGCTGGCTTGCTCCAGGTACATGTACACGGCGTGGCTACTATATAGAAGGGCAGTGCTTGCTGGCTTGCTCCAGGTACACGTACACAGCATGGCTACTATATAGAATCAGACCGTCAAGTCCAACCATCAACCCAACACTGACAAAAACCATCACTAAACCATGTCCCTCAGCACCACGTCTGCCTGTCTTCTAAATACCTCCAGGGATGGTGCCTCAACGGCTTCCCTGGGCAGCCCATACCAATGCTTAATAACCCTTCAGTGTAAAAATTTTCCTAATATCCATCCTAAACCTCCCCTGGCACACCACCAGTCTCTGGGCCCAGCCTCCAGCCAGGTTTTTTACCTAGAGAGGAGCACTCCCATCCATCCAACTATGGCAGCCACTTTCTCCAGGAGAAGGCTGTGGGAGACCGTATCAAAAGCTTTATTAAAGTCCAGGTAAACAACATCCACAGCCTTTCCCTCATCCACCAAGCGGGTCACTTTGTCATAGAAGGAGATCAGGTTTGTCAATGGGACCTGCCTTTCAGAAACCCATGCTGACCGGGCCCGATCGCCTGGATGTCCTTCATGTGCCAGCCAGGTGTATGCATCTGTCTTGTCTGAAGTTTATATTGCTGTAAGTAAATGTCCTCCACAAATAGGGATTAATTTGACCAAGTAAAGCTTAGGCAGTGCAGCCCTACGTTTTTCCAGGCCCTGCGTTTGTATATGCACAGATTCAGAGCATCTTTTGACTTTTAATCTACATTACATCACTTTCTCCTGTCAAGTAATGTTTGCTCTGCAAGTGAAGGTGGTGTGGCTGGTCCTCGCTCTTCACTTCACCTTTTCTCTGGTGAATTCCCTTCTGCTCCTGCATGAGCCCACCCAGTGTTTGGCTTCACCATGGCGTAGGCTAAAGAAGTACAAGTAGATATGTCTCCATGCTTGCCTGTAAGTGGAGGATTGGCCCTTATAGCTCCTATAGGAAGCCATAAGATGCCTGTGTGCTTAGGGCAGAGAGTGTTTCTCAGCTCTGCCAGGGTCACAGGCACAGAGGTCAGATCCTGTGACCCTCTGATGGGTTTACCAGGCCCATCAGAGCATGGGGGAGATGCCCCACTGCCGGGAGGCTGCACTGCTCTTTGCAGACCTCTAGTGACCACGATCTCCCACCCGCCTGCCCAGTCAGCTCCAGAGATGGGCAGCCTCCATGCATACAGTTTTCCCATAGTTTAAACTGAACTGTCCTTCCCATAGCTTAGCCCCATTCCTTTTTTCCCAGCCCCTGCAGACAGGGAGAAGAGCTTCCCCATGGTGTCTTTTCATACGTCTGAAGACCTGTTGGCCCTATTTGATTTTCTTTTCTCTAGATTAACAATTCACATGTCCTTTGGCCTATGCGCCCTATTTGATTTTCTTTTCTCTAGATTAAAGATCCACATGTCCTTTGGCCTATGATTCACTGAATTTCACTGAATTTTTAGAGTTGGAAGGGACCACAGAGATCATCTAGTCCAACTCCCCTGCTGAAGCAGGATTGCCTAGAGCTTGTCAGAGCATGTTACTCAGGAGCATCCAGGTGGGGCTTGAAAATCTCCAAGGAAGGGGACTTCACGACCTCCCTGGGCAGCCTGTTCCAGGGCTCTGTCACCCTCAATGTGAAGAAGTTTTTTCTCATATTTGAGTGGAACCTCTTATGTTCCAGCTTGTGCCCGTTGCCCCTCGTCCTGTCACTGGGAACCACTGAAAAGAGTCTGGCTCCCTCCTCCTTCAACCCACCCTTCAGATACTTGTCAGCATTAATAAGGTCTCCCCTCAGACTTCTCTTCTCCAGACTAAAGAGTCCCAGCTCGCTCAGTCTTTCTTCATAAGGGAGATGCTCCAATCCTTGAATCATCTTTGTAGCCCTTTGCTGGACTCTTTCCAGTAGTTCCCTGTCCCTCTTGAACTGGGGAGCCCAGAACTGGACGCAGAATCCCAGTTGTGGCCTCCCCAGTGCAGAGCAGAGGGGGAGAATGACTTCCCTTGACCTGCTGGCCACGCTCTTCCCTACGCAGCCCAGGATTCTGTTGGCCTTCCTGGCGCAAGAGCACACTTGTTGCAGGAGCACACATGCCCCAGGATTCCGTTGGCCTTTCTGGCCACAAGAGCACACTTGGTGCAGGAGCACACATGTTTGTAGGTCATGTTCTCTAGATTTACCTTTCTTCTGCTGCTGTTGTGTGTCCCTTTGGCACACACCTTATTTAAGCGCCGTCCTGCAGCAGAGTCCTTCGCGATCCTCAGTCAGAGCCAAAGGATTACCCGTGGCTCGCAGACCACAGCGCCATGGATAATCCCTGCCTGATTTTAACACCAGCATGAAACTCTCCTTTCAGATTGAGTTTGCGATCATCTGCAGATCCAGGGGGACACAGATCCCCTTTCAACAGAAGGGCTATTGAACCGCTGCTCCCTGTTGGGTATTCGCATGGCTGATCGCTGCCTGCCTTAAACTCGTGCAGGTTTCATCATAAATAATATAAATAATCTGTGTACTCTTAGCAGGCTGCTGCGCACAAATATCTAAAAGGAATTGTATTTTGTAGCTTTCTTAAATTGCTTACTGAGAACAAGGGCAATATGCAATTCTTGTCTGTAGGAGGAAATTTCGTGTTTAACTTACATGATCTATACCTAATGTCTAAATTACCTGTGCATGCAAATCTACATTAGAGTGTGTATAATCCATCCTCGTGAAACATCTAAAATTAAATCTGTCAACGTACATGTACAAGAGCTCTTTAGGAGTGGCAGTTACAGATTTAACATTCATGCATGTAAAATTGGTATAAAAAGTTAGAGAAGAGTTTGCGAGCTGCTTTTAAAAAATAATCCTGAAGTTTATCTAAACCTCTGCAAACAGGAGTCTGATCCATCCTGCAGATACCTCCAACTGAAAATATTGCTTGAGCTTTCGGATTGATGCCCATGGCAGTAAATGCTTGTTCTTGCTACTGAGGTTCCATTCCTTGACTGTTAAACTGGAACTATCACAATTTTAACATAGCATTATACATCATTCTGTTCTCTGATGGGGTAGACATTTCGAAAATAGCTGAATCAAATCCCCATCTTTTTTCTTTTTCAAAATTCACACTTAGAGGGTCGCTGCCAATAGCTTTTTTCCTTGCTTTGGTTGGGTCAGCTTCAACTGCCTGATTATACAGCTGGTCTCGTTTTTCTATTCTAGTTTGAGCATCTTTGTGTCTCATCCCTCCTGTGTGTGTGTGTAGTGCCTGTAAACGTCACCTCTTCATTTACAAACCCTCGGGAACTGAAAAGGGCAACCCGGCAAACCCCACCTGTGAACTCCTGTTTTCCTCTCGGCTCGTTTTCCTTCCGCTTAAATGTAAACCAGCCATTAATATCACCTTATTCACATTTTGACATTTCAGTCTCTTCACCTCGTGTTGATTGTATCAGACTCTTCCTCCAAATACCTCCAATGGCCGGTCCTTTCCTTTTTTTCCCCTTTTCAGCTGCATAATGCATGAGATGGAAGGTGTCTCCTGGGCGCCCGGTGTCAGGCTCTGCCGGGTCCCCCCCGTGATTGACACTAATGCTCCGATGGCAGCTCCGTCGGGGGGCCGCGGTGGTCGCGTTTCGGGGAGGCTGGTCAGGGAGGAAGGAGAGCAGGAGCCGTGGCACTGATGATGCAGCTTGTCAGTGCTTCACAGAGATCTCTTGAAGCGCCCTATTTTTGGAAACAGCATTTCCAGATAAATGCTTTTTCAATTCCAAAGGCATTTTGACACGCTGGGGAATAAACCTCTACCTAGCTGTGGGTTTAAGTCACATCCCTAACATTCTGGAAAGTGCCAGTCATTTGATTTTATAATCCTTTCTATGAATTATAATGATGGTAAGGACCAAATAGGCTTAGTCCTGTGCTGCCACTCTATCCAGACACATAACGGAGGCAGAAAAGGCACATTTAGAAACCGAGAGCCCCTTGATGTGTCTGGCAAGCTTAGCTCTGAAATCCTCAAAAGAGATCTGTCTTCCTTTTCCCTCTAAATTTAGATGAAGAATTTTCACATTCCTGGAACAGAGAGGGAGAAAGGTGGAAACTGATAACACGCTGTTGAAAGAAAATTGTAGCGTTTTCAGATGCAGAACAATTTTCTGTGTGGCTTCTCTCTGAAGTGCGGGAGCGTTAGCGGGTCCACCTGCCAGCAGCCTGGTTTGTGTGTGCGAGTTAGATTGAGAACTTTAAACTCATGTCACCTTTTCTTTTTAGGCATTCAAGCCAATGTTTTAGGGGCCTCTCTGTCTTCTACAGGACCAGGTAGAACTGCTTTGCATAGGGCTTTTGTAAGCAGGCCTTTGGGGACTAACGGGCTTGGGTTTGGGGTTATTTTTTCCTGCGTAGCACATGCAGAAATGTTATTGCTCGATCACTGAGTTTGCCAGTTCCGGCTCTTTGTGGCTTGTTGGCATCTCTGAAAAGATACCAGGCAATGGGATTTACAGATAATTATTGCCATGAATAATTTAATCTGGATTTAATAAGGAAGTCACCCTTTTTGACTCCCCGTTTTTAACCATGAGTAGTGGTTGTCTGTAATGGCTCACCCCAGCAGTCCAGAGCGCTTGTTATTAAGGACTTTGGCATTTTGGATTAGTGTTTCCCACTGAGAAATTTTAATTCCTGTAGCCAAAGAATTCACATAGCCCTGTATGATTAGCAAATCTAGAGGATTAAAATAACCGCCTGGCAGGGTTAATACACTTCAAGATTGTTGTTGTTACCTCAGGTACCACAGCACAAAAAAAAAAAAGAAAAAAGAGGGCTCCTACGGCCACAGCTCATAGTTACTAAATCTGACTGTGCTAGCATTGCTGAACACTGGAAGCAAAACTTTTAACAGCAGTGAACGCCAGCTTTTTTGCTTCATCACTCAAGGATGGTTTCTCCGTTTGCATCTTCATCTGCAGAAGTGGATACACCATGGAGATTTTGTGAGATCTAAATATGCACTCTGTAATGATGTGCCCAATTTGGATAGCTAGGGGGTTGAATTGGAACCACCAACCATAAAAGCCTGAACCTCAACTGGCTGAGCAGATGAAACAGATGTATCTGTTCGAAAGTTTGCATCAAACATTGGACGCTTCTCCATAAATCTGTGCTCTCCTGGTCTGGGTTATCAACTTGCCTTAAAATAGTCATTTCCCACAGACGTAGGCAAAGGTTTTTAGTTCTCTTTGACCCTTCCTTGCAAATGAACGTACCTGACCAAGCTACCCATCTTGGGAAGGGCTGGGGCTCAGCTGTGGGCTTCAACTTGCTTGTAAATGCCACTCTGACATGTGCTGTGAATAAATAAAGCCTGCTGGAATACATTGCAAGGAATATTTTTTTAAGAATCTAATGAAGTTTAAAAGATGGGTAGTACTTACAATAAGCATGTCATTTTAGTGAAGAAAAAGCTCTTTGCAAAATGATTTAGTTGTTAGGATTCTTTTTTTTGTTGTTGTTGTTGACTTGGAGGAAAAAAGAAAGCTAAAGCTCCTTCTTACAGTAATCTGTTTTTCTCCCTTTTATTTTGTTTTATTTTCTTATCTACGGAAGTCGTGTAAGCAAAGTTCTTTGCCGGTGCTAGGGATTTGTGTGATATTTTTTCAAGGTGCGGTTTGTAGAATGTCACACATTCATTTTTAAACAGTTTTGCTCTCTGATATGAATGAGGCACAGGGCAGTCAAATGTCAGTGGAAGCTCAGCAGCTCACTTTTCCTGCTTCTCTCCATTTTCTTATTATTAGCTGTCTTTGCAAAAGAGGAGCCTCTTACATTCCTGGCTTTGTTAGTGTTTTCAGACCAGGCGGCATTTCTGTTTTAGCCAATGTTTTTGACGTCACCTCAAAATAAGACAAGACCCATTTTCCTGAGAACATATTTGGACATTTCTAAAATAAGTTCAGCCTTTAATTTGCTTCCCCCTTCACTGGCTGTCGCTCCTCCGTGCGGCTGGGGTGTGTGTCAGAACTTCATCGAGGCTGCTGCCCGCGTTGCCCTGCCTGGGGACAGGGCCAAGCTCCAGCTCTCAGGCTGCACAGAGTCAGGTCCCACTCTCCACCCGAGCACTTAAAAGCAATCCCAGGGGCAGGTGTCCCCATGGGATGGATGCAGACGTCCCATTTCCACCCGCTGTCACCCGCTCCGGGGGCTTTACCTATGCCACCCTCCTCACGGGTGCCGTAGCACTCCCACTGCTGGGGT